TAGGAATTTGGTTAACTTTAATAAATTTATTTTATCTTTACTGAACAAAATTTATGTTTTCAAAACAAAATCAAAGAAAATAATGATTTTCTTGTTAGCAGTTTTTCTGACAAAATTATAAAACAAAATATAGCATCTTCCTTGTTGCTTTTGATTTTAACAGCATGATTACAAAGAAGATACTTTTATAAAAATATTTAAGAGTTTTAATTTTTCCCAGAGGACTTTCTTAATCTTTCTACTGATAAATCTTCCCTTCTGAAGGACCTATTGTGTCAGCCTTGTTACTGTTATTTTCTTAGTCAATCAGTAAGTCAAACTGTCACATCTTTATGTGTCAATGAATTGAGAAAAGTCTGATACCAATTTCAAAGATCACTTGACATTCTGGAACTTTTACAAAATCTGCACTTTCACTTTATAGCTGCTGTCAATATAACTGACAGTGATGCAACAGAAAAACACAAATATTAACTTAAATATCAAAGGATATTTAACAAGGACTAATTTTCTAAAGAGCCAGATCACCACTGAACATCTTGGTCTTTCCAAGATAAATTTTTTTTTTATTTTTTTAATTATTTTTATGTGTGTGTACCGTCAAATCAGATATGACTGGTACAGGAGGAGATTGTCCCTCCTTTTCCGGCAGAGCATCTGGTGGATTTGAACCGTGCGCCTCTGGATAAATTTTTTAAATTATAAAAACACTAACAAAAATTACCTCCTTCTTCTATGTACAAAGGGGAGCACTGCTGGCCTACTGGCAAGAAGCTACGTTGCAATCCTGAAGGCACGTGGCTTGAATCCACCAGCTGCTCCACGGGAAAAGGATGGACAATCTCTTTGCATGAGATTAACTGCCTCTGAAAACCCACTGGAGGGTCAGCTATGGGTCGGTTCCAACCCAACAGTATACAACATCAACAACAATACAGTATGTACATAGAGAGTTACTTAGTAACTTATTTACCTACTTGTATTAGAACAAAAATAAATCTTTAATAATTTAAATAATGGGAAATCTTAGATTACATTAGATTTTGAATTGTTAAAAATTATTTAACTTCTTTCTTTGAAGAAGGAAATCCATCTACTTCTAAGAGCCTAAACAATTATTATTAATAACAAAAAGAATGAAAAAAATTTTAATATGTTAAATGCAAGTTCCACAGTAATATGTTGTGTGAATATTCTGTGCCACAGAGACGTAATCAACTCATACATGGCTCGCTGACTGTCCAGCAGGTTTTCAGAAACTGTAAATAACATAAGAGACTGCTCATTGTTTTTCCTCAGGGCTGCTAATGGATTTGAACAATGTGCCTTTGGGTGGCAGTGCTGGTCCTTACCACTAGGCCTCCAGAGTTCCCTTCTCATACATATACCTGTTGTTGTTGTTATGTGCCATCGAGTCGCTTGCGACTCATAGCAACCCTATGTACAACACCCCTAAACTCTGCTCTGTCCTCTGCCAATCGCACTGTCTCTGACACTCCCATCCTGATTACCCCAGACACTGAATCAATCCACCTGATAGAGGGCCTTCCCCTCCTGCGCTGTTCCTCCACCCGCCCAAGCATGATGTCCCTCTCCATGGACCAGTCCCTCCTTATAACATGTCCAAAGTATGTTAGACAGAGTCTCAGAATCCTTGCTTCCAAGGAGCCGCCCTTGGAGGGCGGCTTAACTCTTGGGTTTAACCCTTTTCAGGATGAATCTGTTTTCCTAGCAGTCCATGGTACCCTCAATACTCTTCTTCATCTTCTCCAGCACCACAGCTCAAAGGCATCAATTCTCCTTCTATCCTCTCTAGTCATTGTCCAACTCTGATGCATAACAAGTGATAGCAAAGACCATGGACTGTATCAGATGCACCTTAGTCTCTACAGAGACACCACTGCTCTTCAGTACTTTGGAGAGGTCCCTAACAGCACACTTTCCCATCGCAATACATCTTTTAATTTCCTGGCTATTGGTGCCAAGAGTGGTGACTGTGGAGCCAAGCAAACTAAAGCTGTGAACAATCTCAATCTCTTCACCATCCATCCTGATGCTGCCAATTGGTCCAGTGGTGAGAATCTTTGTCTTCTTGACATTGAACCTCAGTCCATATTGGAGGATGCAGTCCTTGATCCTCTGGAGCAGGCGCTTCAGGTCCTCCTCAGTTTCAGCAAGCAGGGTTGTGTCATCTGCATAACGCAGATTGTTGATACATCTTCCACCAATCTTGACCCAACATTTCTCCTCATAGAGCCCAGCCTCCCAGATAATCTGTTCTGCATCCAGGTTCAAAAGGTATGGAGACAGGACACATCCCTGGCATACGTCCTTCCCAATTTTGAACCATGTAGTGTTTCCTTGCTCTGTTCTGACGACTGACTCTTGATTTCTCATTAGCACGATCAAGTGTTCTGGGATTCCCATTCTTCTCAGAGTCAGCCACAGTTTGTTATGATCCACATAGTCAAACGCCTTTGCATAGTCAATGAAACACAGATAGACATTCCTCTGGTATTCCCTGCTTTCAGCTACGATCCATCTAACATCAGCCACAATATCCCTAGTACCACGACCCCTTCTAAACCCAGCCTGGACTTCTGGCAGTTCTCTGCTGACGTGCTGTTCCTGTCGTTTTTGGATAATCTTCAGTAGAATCTTGCTTCCATGTGAAATCAATGATATTGTTCTATAGTTTCCATACTCTGTTGGGTCACCTTTCTTTGGGATGGGAACAAATATAGATGTCTTCCAGTCAGTTGGCCAAGTGGTTGTTCTCCAGATTTCTTGGCACAACTTGGTGAGCACATCCACGGCAGCATCTGTTAGCTGAAATATGTCAATTGGTATATCATCTATTCCTGGGGGCTTATTTTTTGCTATTTCCCTCAAAGCAGCTTGAACTTCTGCCTTCATCACCATAGGCTCTGGCTCAAACACTGTTTCATTAAATTCTTCTGTATCTGCCAATTCCTTTCGGTACAATGACTCAGTATATTCCTTCCATCTTCTTTTGATACCTCCTGGATCATTTAACATTCTGCCTAAATACATAGTATATATTAATTCTACTCTGCATTTAACTTTTTATAACGACCATCAACTCTTTGCTGCTGTTAAAATTCTTTCTGGTTACAGTGACAATTATTATATACTCAGAATTTACGGTAACACCTTAGTAATTAGGGCTATCTCCATTTACAGGATCTCCTTGTTAAAGTTATGACTGGTCCACTGGTCTAGTTATCCAAGTTAGTCCCCTTCAACGGTGATTACAGGTATTACAGCCGGCCCTGAAGTGGCCATATTACTTTGATAAAAAAGCTGGCGGTGGGGGCAGGAAAGGATGAAAAAGATCCTAGATAAGAACTCTCAAAGTTCTTACCCCAAATTAAGCAGTGTTTCTGGAATAAACATTCAATTTGCTTCTTAGATATCTAAGATAGAGTTCTTAAGGGACAATTTTTTCAGATAAAAAAATTTAACAAGTTATTCTTCCATCTTTGGAAGTCATATAATTTCTGATTATAGTTTTATCCAAGAAAACAAAGGTATTCTGAGAGAGAAAGTAAAAAACAAACCAAACCATGGATTTTGAAATGATACTCTGGTCCATGATCACGTGCAAGTTACTTAACATTTTGAGCCTCAGTTTCCTCATCCGTAAAATACAGCCACTCTTATTAAGTTGTTAAAAACATTACAAAACGCCATGAATACTCACCAACTATTTCTTCAATTAAACCACAAAAATTTAAGGGTTGTAAAAATCATGAAGGTCTATAAGAATAATTTTCTAAGTGAATCAACTTAGGGTAACAGTTAATATTGTAAAAACTCTTCTGATGAAGAAAAATGTACAAAACTCTTCTGATGAAGAAAAAAGAATAGTCTCCTAGTACTATACATAGTGACAATTCATTACTATAGAGTTGATTCCAATTCATAGTGAACCTACAGCACAGTGGCAAGAAGCTGCACTGTAATCCCAAAGGCACAGGGTTCAAGGCCACAGGCTGCTCCAAGGGAGAAGGATGTGCAATCTCCTCCCCTCTGATTGCTGCCTGTGTGAAAACCTGCTGGAGGGTCAGCTATGGGTCAGTTCTGACTCTGTGGTACATAACTTAACACAGAGCAGAACTGCACGATGGGGTTTCCAAAGCGGGACTCTTTACATATTTTGTTGAATCTATATGCAAGCAGACTGTTATCTTTTTATTTCAGGGAGCAACTAGGAGCTCTGAATAACTGATGAATAGTTAGCAGCCAAATGTTTTAACAAATGCACTGCTAAGTCACACTCATTTAAAAGAAAACAGTCCCTCCACTGAAGCCATCTAAAATAAAATCTAGGAAAATGAGCAGAAATGAAGAATTTAAAATAGTTCTCTCTTAAATGAGCTGGTAGCTGCTTTCTTCTGTCTCCAAAGTGACATAATATATAAAAACAACAACAAATTAGAAAACTGAAATTACATAAATGCTTTTTTGGGCTCTCCCTTATTGGCACATACTTCCTTAAGTAGAGGGCTGGTAACCAAAAGGTTGGTAATTTGAATCCATTAGCCACAGGAGAACACTAGGCAGTCAATCTCTTCACATAAAGGTATGTACAGTCATGAAAATCCAATAGAGGGTGATGTGAATCAACATGTTGATAGGAGGGGTTTTGGTTTGGGGTTTTTTTATTATTTTTTAATTAAAGGAGTCAGTTTAGTCTCATCAATCTATCTATATGCAATATACACATATTACACTATAGCTATATTTTAGAGGAAGTTCAAAGTATCACAAAATATCATATGAGGAAAATAAAAGAGTATCAATTCTATTTTCATTTAATTATGACTTATGTTCCATATTTGGATAAAAAAATCAGATGATATTGTAAAAACTTCACATTTACTAACAGCAATTTGGGCAGTGCATATAAATAATGACTCACATCTCTTTATTTGTGCCTTACTGATAGCTACAAAGAAAGAAAGAAAATAATTTACCTCTATGGTAAAGATTTCTTTATCACGCCCATATAATTTCATCTCTTCTGGAAAATGCTGGAAAGTGTTTATGTAAGGAATATGGTCCTCTTCAACAAATCTGCTTTTAAAAAGAGTTTCAATCAGCGATACGGTACTTATCTAACCATGAAAACTCATTTTGAAAATACTGTATTTCAAATATCAGGATGGAAAGAATTATTTTCTAACATGCTGTGATCCTAGGTATTTTTAAGGATAATAAATCTTATTGTCCAATTCTATGTATCTAATGAAGAAGACATTTAGTCAATTATCTAAGTTTCTGACTAAATAAATTACATATTTCTAAGAAATATTTATCTTATTTGTTAATATACTACCAGGTTTTCATTCTATCCCTTGCTCACCTCACATGATAAACTCCTACTCCTTTTTTTAACCTACTTCTTCAGATCTTTATTGATCTGTTTTCTTTGTTAAATTCAAGATTACCCATCCATCCCTAGTACCTATGATAAAACACAGAATCATCTCGGGGCCAATAAAATGACTATGGGAAAGGACTATACCCATTTGCTAGTCACTCCATCTCCACTGTCTGGTATGTAGTACTAGGTGATCGATCAAACACGTTTTGTGAATAACTGAAATTTGAAGAACACTGTTCATCCATATAAATGCATACATACAGTTAGTATAGAACTTACATTTCAGTGAGAATAGAAAATAACAAATAAAACCTATAGAATGGTATTGTATCCACAGTTAATAAGACAATTTCAGTATCTATCCTAAAGTACACAGTTTGTTGTACATAAGCGGTAACTTGTGGTTGCTCTTAGTCTGAACACTGTGACACTGATGTGTCAAATGTATTAACGGTTGGTTACTCAATGTGGACAGTGTGGGGTGGAGCTCCCCGATTAAAACAAGCTTGGAGGGAGGAGTGGCACACACTTGCATAACAGCTTGCCTCTGGAAACCCTGTGAACCTGGAGAGAGGATGAAAGACACACAAGTGTTGAGGACTTTCCTTCACAGGGTCGATATGAGTCACCTGCGACTCAACAGCACTTAAGAATAACAATCCTAAAGTACAATGTTGTGAATGATAGGATACTATCCATAGACATACAAGGAAGACATGTTAATATGACTATTACTCAAACACATTCACCAACAAATTTTTTATATTTTATTATTTTTTTAAATTGTTTTTTGTGTGTGTACTGTCAAATTGGATCTGACTGGTACAGGAGGAGACTGCCCCTCCTTCTCCAGCAGAGTATCTGGTGGATTCGAACCACAAACCTCTGGGACTGCAGTGCAGCTTCTTGCCACTAGGCCACCAGAGCTCCCTACATTCACCAACAATTAAAACCAACAAGAAAGAAACTGAGGATTTCGATCAATGTTTAAAGTTAGAAACTGACCAACAAGCAATCAAAATGCATTAATATTTATTGGTGACTGGAATGCAATAGTGGGAAACAATGAAGAAGAAATGGAAGTTGGAAAGTATGGTTTTGGTGATCAAAAAGAGGCTGGAGATAGATGAATTTTTTTATGTTGAATGATTTATTATCACAAAAACATTTTTTTAAAAACACTTAAGGCAATTTTACACACAGACCTCACCTGATGGACTGTAGTGGAATCAGAATGACTACATATGTGGAAAGAATTGTTGGAAAAGCCCAATGCCAACATCAAAACAGGGGCAGGTGCTGACTATAAAACAGTCCATGTGTGTCAGTTCATGTGAAAATTCAAATTGAAGGTGAAGAAAATGAAAAGTTCACAAGAATCAAAATATGACCTTGAATCTATCCCACCTGAATGTAAAAATCATCTTAAGAAAAGGTTTAAGGCACTGAATGCCAGTGATTGAAGAGTAGACAAGTCTTGGAATGACATCAAAGATATCATTCATAAAGAAAGCAAGAGGTCATCAGAAAGACAGAAAGAAAAAAAAATGGACATTAGAAGAGACTCTCAAAATGGCATATGAGCATCGAGAAGCCAAAACAAAGGGAAGAGATGCCAAAGTAAAAGAACTGAACGGAAGACTACAAGGAGCAGCCTAAGAAGACAGAGCAAAGTGTTATAATGGAATGTGCAAGAGATGGAATTGGAGAACAAAAAGGGAAGAACTTGCTCAGCAATTCTAACTCAAAGAAGTGAAAAACAAATTCAAGTCTCAAGATGCAATACTGAGAGATGTTATGGACACAATCTTGTATGATCCAGGAAACGAAGAAATAAACAAAATCACTGTACCAAAAGAATTGGTTGTTGTTGTTGTTGTTATGTGCCATCGAGTCGATTGTGACTCATAGCGACTCTATGTACAATAGCCCTAAACTCTGCTCTGTCCTGTGCCAATCTCACTGTCTCCAATACACCCATCACGATTACCCCAGTCACTGAATCAATCCACTTCATAGAGGGCCTTCCCCTCCTGTGCTGTCCCTCCACCCTCCCAAGCATGATGTCCCTCTCCAAGGACCAGTCCCCCCTTACAACATGTCCAAAGTATGTTAGACGGAGCCTCAGAATCCTTGCCTCCAAGGAGCCACCCCAGTTTGACTCTTTCCAGGATGAATGTGTTTGTTTTCCTAGCAGTCCATGGCACCCTCAATACTCTTCTCCAGCACCACAGCTCAAAGGCATCCATTTTCCTTCTATCCTCCTTGGTCATTGTCCAACTCTCTGATGCATAACAAGTGATTGCAAAGACCATGGCCTGTATCAGACGCACCTTAGTCTCCAGAGAGACACCATTGCTCTTCAGTAGTTTGGAGAGGTCCCTAACAGCACACTTTCCCATCGCAATATGTCTTTTAATTTTCTGGCTATTGGTGCCAAGAGTGTTGACTGTGGAGCCAAGCAAACTAAAGCTGTGAACAATTTCAATTTCTTCATCATCAATCGTGATGCTGCCAATTGGTCCAGTGGTGAGAATCTTTGTCTTCTTGACAATGAGCCTTAATCCATACTGGAGGCTTGACCCTCTGTAGCAAGCACTTCAGGTCCTCCTCAGTTTCAGCAAGCAGGGTTGTGTCATCTGCATAATGCACTTGTATAACTTGGTCCAAGTATAGGGTTCTCATTAGCACGATCAAGTGTTCTGGGATTCCCATTCTTCTCAGAGTCAGCCACAGTTTGTTACGATCCACAAAGTCACTGAATATTTTCAGGAAGTACCATATGAACAAGAGACAATACTAATGAAAGAAGTTCACATGCACTGAAGGCATTAACAAAAAAGGAAAAAAAAGATTCCAGGAATCAATGGATACCAAATGACATGGTTTTAACTAACAGGTGTAGTCCTAGACATGCTCATCAGTCTATATTCTCCCATTCTCAAGACAGGTGATCCAACAGAATGTGGAAATTATGCTACAATATTTTTTAAAAACACATGTAAGCAAAATATTGCTGAATCTCATCCCAAAACAGCTAGAACAAGTACACTGAAGAGTTGTTGTTGTTATGTGCCGTCAAGTCCCCTGCGACTCATAGTGACCCTATGTACAACAGCCTGTCCTGTGCCAATCGCACTGTCTCTGACACTCCCATCCCAATTATCCCAGTCACTGAATCAATCCACCTCATAGAGGGCCTTCCTCTCCTGCGCTGTCCCTCCACCCTCCCAAGCATGATGTCCTTCTCCAAGGACCGGTCTCTCCTCACAACATGTCCAAAGTATGTTAGATGGAGCCTCAGAATCCTTGCCTCCAAGGAGCCACCCGGTTTAACCCTTTCCAGGACAAATCTGTTTGTTTAGCAGTCCACGGTATTCTCAATACTCTTCTCCAGCACCACAGCTCAAAGGCATCAATTCCCCTTCTATCCTCCTTGGTCATTGTCCAACTCTCTGATGCATAACAAGTGATTGTGAAGACCATGGCCTGTATCAGATGCACCTTAGTCTCCAGAGAGACACCATTGCGCTTCAGTACTCTGGAGAGGTCCCTAACAGCACACTTTCCCATGGCAATGTGCCTTTTAATTTCCTGGCTGCTGGTGCCAAGACTGTTGACTGTGGAGCCAAGCAAACTAAAGCTGTGCACAATCTCAATCTCTTGGTCCAGTTGTGAGAATATTTGTCTTCTTGACATTGAGCCTCAATCCATATTGTAGGCTGCAGTCCTCGACCCTCTGCAGCAGGCGCTTCAGGTCCTCTTCAGTTTCAGCAAGCAGGGTTGTGTCATCGCATAATGCAGACTGTTGGTAAATCGTCCACCAATCTTGACCCCATATTTCTCCTCATAGAGCCCAGCATCCCGGATAATCTGTTCTGCATATAGGTTGAAAAGGTATGGAGATAGGATGCATCCCTGGCATACGCCCTTCCCAGTTTTGAACCATGCAGTGTTCCCTTGCTCTGTTCTGACGACTGCCTCCTGGTCCAAGTATAACTACCAAAAGAGCAAGCCATGCACTTTAGAAGAGGCTTTTAGAAGAGGCTATGGCACCAGGGATATCACTGCTAATGTCAGATGGATCATGGTGGAAAGCAAAGACTCCCAGAAGGTCTATTTATGCTTTATTGATCAAGGCACTTGACTGTGTGGACCATAACAAATTATGGCTAACACTGAGAAGAGGAATGTCAGAACTCTGAATTATGCTCATATGAAACCTCTACCTAGACCTAGGTTGCCAGAAAGGAGCACAGGAACCTTGCAATGGTGAAAATCAAGAAAGGTGTGCACCAGAGATGCATCCTTTTCTCCATAACTATTCAATCTGTTGTTGCTGTTAAGTGCCACTGAGTCATAGACAACTCTTAGTGATCCTATGAACAAAAGACCTGAACACTTGTATAACTTCCATAGTTTTCTCCAAGTTTATAGAGGTTTCTAGAAAGTAAGCTATTTTGGAAGTGGATGCCACTCCTGCTTCAAAGCTTGTTTTAACTGGGGAGATCCACCACTGTCAACCATGGGTAACCATTATCACATTTGACACATCAGTGTCACAAAGTTTAGCATCACAGCAGCCACAAGTTACCTTGTACAGCAAATGGATAGACCAGTGCTATATAGCTTAGAAGAATGTTTGATCAAAAACAATTAAAACCAGGCCTGAGGGCCCAAATGAATTTTC